AGAAACGTCTCTGAGGAGGCTGAGGCAGCAGGACCTAGAGGTGGGAGGAAGGGGGGAGCAGGTCAGGAGGGAGAGAGGGGTGGGCACCGAGACAAGGTCAGACCCACAGGGACTCCTGAGTCCTCATCTGGGGTCTGGAGCCCTGGGGCTGGGGGAGAGGGGTGGGTCAGACCCCTCCTCTAGAACCACGCTCAAGGTGGAGCAGGGGGGGAGGGCGGGGTGGGGGAGGAGGCGGGCAGGGGAGGAAGGCGGGGCCGGGCCTCTGTCCACAGCATTAGTGCTGGTTGGAGGGAGAGGGGGGTGTGGAGCCAGCCAGGCCGCCTGTTCCCACAGCCGCTGAGCAGGGCGCTGCCATGGCGCTGGCCAGGCCTGGGACCCAGGACCCGGGGCCCCCGGCCCCTCTCCTGCTGCTGCTAGTGCCGCTCTGGGCCCCTGCCCTCGCCCACCCTGCCGGTGAGTTGGGGCCCAAGCCTTGGGGGGCCTGGGGCTGGGTCTGTCCCCAAAGCAGACACCCCGGGCCCTGGGGCCGTCCATGTGGGTGCCGGGACTGACTGTGGGGTGCAGAGGGGTGCCTGCCATGGGCCACTGGAGCTGGTACTGTCGAGGGGGACTTCGTGGGGGGAACGGTGGCCGGCTGTGGTCTGGGCAACAAGTTGGGTTGTGTGTGTCTTGGGAGAGATGCTGTACCCCGTAAGGGAGGGCTCCTGGGGCTGGGGTGTTCTGGCTTGTGAGGCCCAAGTCTGGGGGCTCTGATGTGACTTGTGTGCAGGTTATGGGGTGCAGGTTGTGGGTGCGTTTAAGTTGTGAGGTGGGACAGCTGTCCCACACGAGCCGGGAGTTACGTCTGAGGCTCCCCGGGTGTGGTGAGCTTTATCCCAGTGCAGTTCTGGCCCGTAAGTTGGGTTGAACTGTGTCTTTGCTCTTGACCTGGGGACATGAAGTGGGAGCAGCAGACCCCAGACCAGTGGACTGGGGAGGAGGAAAGAGGGAAGGAGACCCAGGGGTGCTGGGCGTCTGCCTGTATCCCCTCCATTTGTGTGTTAGCCCTGCCTGCACCGGGGGCTGGGGGTGCTCTGGGGTCCCTGGGGGGGTGGCTGGGCACTTGGGAACATGCGTGTCTACTGCTGCCCCTCTCTGTCCTTCCCAGACCAAGCCAAAAGGGCTTCCTGAAGCCAGACACTGTTCGCTAAGAGGTTTATGCTTTTGTCCAAGGGTATTTGTGTGCACGCGGGCCTGGAATTCTTCCTGGGGGGTCCGGGGATGCTTTGTCTTGGTCACTATAGCTACGGGGCCAGACTGGGAAGTCTAGAGCAGGCGGGTGGCCTGGGCTTTGCCTCAGAGTCCCAGGGTGCGGGGCCAGCCCCTACAGGACCCTACCTGGGGCCTTCCACGGCCCCTCACTGCCCGGCTCACAAAACCTTCGTCTCCTCTCTGCAGGGACCTTGGGGAGGACGAGGGCCCCACTTTGCAGGGGAGGAAACCGAGGCTCAGGAAGGGATGGGGGTTTTGCCCTGAGGCAAATCTGAGAGGAGTTGGTGGCCTGCTCTCTGCACGAGGGGCATGCAATCCTGGTGTGTGGACCTAGTGTCTGTCCCCTATCCTACAATGCATGCACACACACATGCATGTGCACACACACATCACGCAAATGCACAATGCACCTGCCCACACAAATCGCACATGTGCATGTACCACATACACATGCAGGCCCGCACACTGGTGTGGCACACACAAGGCACACACCAACATGTGAACAGGTGTCCACAGGCACGTGGAGTCCTACCATGCATGCACTCGTGCACACACACCTACATGTACTGACCGGCGTCTGCACACATGTGTGTACTTATATTCAAATGTACATTCGAGTGACCCTTGGGCAGAGTGAACACAAAGTAGCCGGATGCTACAGAAGAGAACAGACACAGACAGACACACTCACCCCACGCAGCCCCGCTGGGATTCCCAGGGTGAGCCTTTCCCCCTGTGATTTCTGCTCAGGGAGCCCCTCCCTAGGGATCCCTGAAAGCTGGGGTTGGGGTGCTGTGGGAAGGAGCATTTCTGGCTGCTGGGACCCAAGGCCTGGCTGCCAGGAAGAGCGGGGCCGGGGATTGTGTCACTGGAAAAGTAATCTCCATCCCAGAAGGGGTGGGGGTTCTGGATGCCCTGGGCCCATGGCTCTGCTGCCCACCCCAGCCAGGCCCTGCGCGGGGCCCCTCCATCCTGGCCCGCTCTGCCACAAAGGCCCAGCTGGTTGCTAGGAGAGCGCTGAGCATCTTGGAGGACAATGGGGCACGTCGGGCTCTCCTGCCCCTCCCTACTCCCTGCACACCCAGGGAGCCAGGCTGACAAAGGGGCAGCGAGTCCAGTTCCCAAGTCTGGCCCCTCCTCCAGCCAGAGCTGGGTGGGAGCCTGAAGGACAGAGGCGGGGAGCGGGGAGCCACACACAAGCACCCTAACGTCGGGGTTTGTTGCAGTCAGTGTTTGCCCCAAGTCGAGATTTGTTGACGAATAAATAATACCATCAGCCTCTACGTGGCAGGCTCTGTGCTACTGGACTAACAGGACTGAATTTAATTCTCACAACAGCCCCATGAGGTCGACTCCAATACCCCTAGTTTACACTTTAGGCCCAGAGAGGGTCACTAACTTGCGGCCGGGCCAGGATTTCACAGCCGCTTATGGGACTAGTCTGTGTAAAGTCACATCTCTTCTCTGTGCCTCTGTCTAAAGGGGGCAAGCCAGCTCACTCCGAGGGCTGCTTCAAGAATTTGACAAGAAAATGCAGTGGTTTTCCAACTTCGGTTTGGCACAGAGACCCCCGTTTCAAAGTAAATTTTAGACAGAAGCCAGAGGCCTGCTGGTCGTTTAGTTAAAAGTGGCCTGTTCGGGTGGCAAGCCCGGAGCCCCACCTGCTCTGTCTCACCCCTGTTCCAGGAAGTGCCTCTGTGCCCCGCCATTCTAAGACCCTGGTCTGGAAACACTGGGACGCGCCCACGCCCAGCAAAGGGCAGGCAGCGCACCTGTGACGGGGATTGCTGTGATTACCAACATGATGCCCTTTAACATCAGGTGATACGCATTTTTGTAAAAGACTGTTCCAAACTCTCCTGCCTTGTTAGAGTAATTCAGCCCTTTCCCCATGGCCCTGCCTCAGGTGGCCGCACTGTTGTCCGGTCCTACTCCTGGGGCTCAGCGCTACCAGATGAACAGTGTTTCCCCCTCTACCAGAGGCCCAGCTTATGAGATCTGGGGTGGCTTCCTGGACATTTTCTCTTTTTTGCCTTGTCAGGATGAGAAGCATCACAAAACCCGTCCTCAGTAAACACTCCCTATCAGGCATTGGCAGTCATCACGAGGCCCGTTATAAGTGCACGTAAAGTAGGATTTCCTAAGCACTGAGTGAGGCCTGAGGCCTGAGGCCTGAGTCCCCGTGGGATCGCAAGTGGCTAGGTTCTGGGTAGACAGGGAGGACTGCCTGCTCTGTCCAGGCCGATACTGGAACCTCCACTCTCGGACAAGCCGTCAGAGACCCTTTCAGTGCCTGGGTGAGGCAAGGCTGGAATGCCCTAAAATGACGATACGTGGCTGGCCAGTTAGAGTTTGCAGAGTGGGAATTTCATATGCACTGGGAGGTGCGGACTTCTCCGAAGTCAGGAAACGATCTGCTTCTTAGCTTTTCGAGGGATGACCCTGGGCAAGTTTATCAACCTCTCTGAGTTAGAAAATGCTTAGTTTTCTTAACGGCACCCACCTTTTCCAGTTTGAATCAAATGCAATAATGTGATAAAAAAAAAGACGCAAGATGTGCAGCACAGCCCGGAGCACACAGTACTCACTCACTAAATGGTTGCTGTTTTTAGAATCTTGTCCTTTCCATCAAGAAGATTGCCTTCCCAGAGGTGGGTTCTGGGCCTTCCTGGGGCAGGGCAGCAGGTCCAAGGGGAGGGGCGGGTGTCGGCTAATCCTTTCCCTGCCAGGTCGTCCCAGGCAGCCTGAGGGGTCAGAAGGGATTTGTAAAGATAAGCACAGGCCCCTCGTCACCCCGGCAACAGGCCACGCCCCTCCAGCCTGGCCCAGAGGGCCCCTCCTCCTTCCCGCCATCCTCACCTCTCCTGCCTTCAGCCCTGGGCTAGCCTGGCCTTCTGGGCTCATTCCTGGGAGACGGAGAGCCCAGGGTCTGCACTCGTCCCCAGTCTCAACGTGCACAGGAATCCTGAGAGATCACAATGCAATGCAGATTCTGGGTCCCAGGCCCAGCGGTTCTAGATCTCTGGGCCTGGAGTGGGGGCAGGAATCCATATTTTTAATACAGGTCCTGGGGGTGATTCTGGAACCACGCCCCGACCCCCATCCCTGGCATGGAGGCTCTGGAGCAGGGAGACCTGGGTCTGAATTCCAGCCCCTCTGGAGACTGTGAAATCGCCTCATCTCTGAGCCTTACTCTCCTCAAGTGTGGAAAAGGAATAGGCACTCCCGGCCTCCTAAGGTAGATGTGAAGGTGGAGCCACAGGAGAGGTGGCTGGCCCTCACCTGAGGGTTTTGAGTGCCACCGCATAGATCCTGGGACGGACCGCTCCCTCCTGCTCTGCCTGCAGGAACTCCTTCCTCTTGGGGCCAGACTCTGGCTGGGGTCACGGCCCACCTGCCCCCACGGTGATGAAGCACCTTCCCCTGTCCCAGCAGGCGCTGTCTCCCCAGCCTGCTCCTAAGTGGAGGGCTCTGAATAGGGGATCAAGGCTCCGGATTGGGGTAGGGTCCCTGGGGTCACACAGATGAGGAGTGACCGTGTGTCAGGATTAAAAGAAGACCACCTTTCCACCTCCATCAGACCATCTTTCCACCCCCATCAGACCACCTTCCACCTCATCAGATCACCTTCCACCTCATCAGATCACCTTTCACCCAATCAGACCACCTTTCCACCCCCATCAGACCACCTTTCCACCCCCATCAGACCATCTAGTCCTGGGAAACTGGGCTGTATACTGATCAGACCCTGGCTCAGGGTGGGGAAAAGAAAGACAAGCTGCCTGGAAGGCCCTCATGTCCTCACCTGTAGGACCAGGCTTGGAGGAGGGGAACTGTGGGCAGAGAGGGTCTGTGGACCCCAGAGCCCTAGAAGGTTGTCTTGGCCTCACAGTGTTTCAGACCTCATGTCCCCCTTGCCACATGCCTGGCCCTGGGTGGGTGCTTGCCTCCCACCTCTCCTGGTGGGACTCTTGGGAGAGTGAGCCCATGCGGGGCTGTACCAGGTGCTTTGGGAACTGGGGGGTGGGGCCAACAGCTGGGTTCTTTCCCTGGGTCCCTTGGTCAGTAACTCTGTCTCCCTGTCCCCATTCCTGCTTGGCCCTGGCTGGCAAGGGTGGGGGCTGGCCAGTGGACAGCCCTGCCTGGTGGAATGTGGATGACGCCTGAGAGGCTGCCAAGCCTTATCTGGGGGTCTTCACCGGGTGGGGGAGGGGAGGCGCAGGGCTTGAAGCTGTTCTGGGGCCTGGTTAGTGTCTGGATGACAACCTGGGTGGGGGAGGGGCACCTCTTGGAGCCCCAGGTTGGGGGGTGTGCCTCCTTCTTGCAGGCGGCCCCCTCCCCCATCACTTACTGGGCTCCTACCATGAGTGGGCACTTGACTGCTGTCCCTGAGGCTTCCCATCCTTTCACATCCTATGAGGCATGTGCTGTTATCATTCCCCATTCAAACTGGGGAACAGAGGCTCAGTAGAAGAAATGACTTGCCTAAGGTCTCGTAGCTAGTTGGCTGAGCTGGGATTTGAACGCAAGGCTGTTTGACTTCAAAGCTTCAAGATTCCTACACCAGCATGACACTGACATGCTCTTAGGAAGGGACGGAGGGAGGGAAGTGGGCTCCAGATCAGGAGGTGACCCTCTCACAGAGGGAGCTCTGCCTCGTGGAGACATTGTAGTCAGAGCCAGGAGTTAGTTCAATCAGCAGGTCTCAATACCTGCCCTGTACTCTGTGACCCTGGCCAGTCTGGCCGCTTGCATTTGCTGATGGCGGATACAGTGAGGGCCAGGAATCCTCTGAGAAGTTCTCAGGCCAGCAGGGTGGGGAGGGGAGGAGGGGTGTGGAGAGAGGCCTTTGAAGTCCTCCATCTCCAGTTTCACGCAGGGATGGAGTTACTAAGACCCCCAGCGGGAGCTGTGGAGTGAGCAGTGGGAGGAGTCCCTTCCTGGGAGGCAGCAGCCTGGGGACCCCCTCCCTAGGTGGGGCTGAAATGCACGATCAGACCCTGAAGGATGACCCAGCACTAACTTGTCTGACCCCCGGCAAGAATCTTCACTTTCTCTCTTGAGCCTGGACCTGCTCTCTTGTAAAACGGGCATGACAGTGCCTGCCTCCAATGGGCACTGCAGGGATGCGCTGAGACAGCGGAGCACAAAGCTCACAGGGTTAGTGGGCGTCTGCTCACTACTCCTGCCTGGGGAGCCAGGCCTCCCGTGTCCTACTTCCCTGCTACAGAGGAGCTCCTGAAACCATTCCCAGCTCCAGGTGGAGACGTATGCAGCCTGCTGGGACCTGGTTTGTGGACCCCGGCCCTCCCTGCATCCTCCAGAGTGTGGATGGACGCCTGCTGCTCTCAGACTCTGGAATCTGGGGATGGGCCTGGGCGTGGGGAGGGGACTATCCTGGCAGCCCCTGCCCACCCTGCCCAGCCAGTTTCCTCTCTCTACAGGAACGGTACCTTCGGAGACCCCGGGTGCCTGTGCCTCAGACCCATGCGCTCCAGGGACCGAGTGCCAGGCTATGGAGCACGGTGGCTACACCTGTGGGCCCTTGGAGCCTGGGGGCTGTGCCAATCAGCCCTGCCACCACGGCGCTCTGTGTGTGCCCCAGGGTCCAGATCCCAACGGCTTCCGCTGCTACTGTGTGCCCGGATTCCAGGGCCCACGGTGTGAGCTGGACATCGATGAGTGTGCGTCCCGGCCCTGCCTCCATGGGGCCACCTGCCACAACCTAGCCGATCGCTACGAGTGCCACTGTCCCCTTGGCTATGCAGGTAATGGCCTTGGCTGCCCCCGAAGGCGTGTGCGACGTTGACCCCATTAGTGGCTCAGAGTTGTTATATCATAAATGCAACTTTGACCTTAGTGTAGAGACAGCCCCAAACACCCTGGCAGCTCTCGGGTATAGCCACTCTTGGTCTTGCTGTGGAATTGATGTTTCTCAGGCTAAGCTGGCAGCTCTGGATGAGACTGTGAGTGTGGGAGTGCTGGCACAGCGCCTGGCACAGAATGGGCACTGGACAAATGTTATCTCAGTCCCCTCTAGGGTTCAGTTTGGTGCTGGGAGGGCAGACACCCCTCAGGCATCTCTGGGACTAGAGTGCAGATATGCCTGGTTTGGCTGTAATGAGGACACGTCTGGACAGTATTTCTAGCATCTGCTCATGTGCAGACCTGTCAGGCTGCAGCGTAGACACTGGGTGGCTCAGCCACTGGTTCTAGAGTGTGAACAGCCCTGGTATGGTTCAGGTTGTAATGTGGACCCCCTTCCCTGTGGGTAGCCCCCACAGCTCCAGCATAGAGAGACTGGTGGTCTTGCTTTAACTGTAATGTAGATGTACCCCTAGGGATCTCTCTGGTCCTGAGGGGGACAGTTCCCTCCTCCAGAGTATGGCCCTGTCCCAGTCCCATTCATTCTCCAAGGCAAGAGCATCCTGGAGTAAGTGCCTAAAAGGCAGGAAGGAGGGCGCAACTGGGGACAGGTCTCGGAGACTAGGTCTAGGGCAGTTGGGAGCCTGTAGTGCAGAAACTCCAGGTTCTAGTCAATCTTGAATTCAGATGACTCTCTCTGAGGACACAGGACATTTTAAGGTCACCTCAGAGTAAGGGGTACAGACTGGGGGGCTGGGCTCCAAAAGAGGGGGCATATGGTGGAAAGACGGATCTTGGCACATAGATGAAAATGAACTTGGAAATGGGTTCCGTGTGCCCTTTTCATTATTTGAGAGTCCAGGTGTCTGGATATTTCATCATTTGAGAGTCCAGGTGTCTGGATATCCTAGTTGTGTGTGTGAAGGTCACATAAAGGGCCTCTGTGTCTGCCAGTATCCATGGGTGTCTGGGCTGGCTGAATACATTTGTGGGAAACAAATGTGTGTGTGGTGCCAGCAGATGTGTGTGCGCCTGGATGTGTGGTGCTCGGACGCTTTGGGTAACGCTTTCTGGGTGAGTTGTGGATGTGAGTCGCGGCAGTGTCTGCTGTGATTCATTTCCTCCTCCTTCTGTTCTGAGCCAGGCGGGGGAGGCTGGGATTCCAGGCAGCCTGGGCCTGGCTCCCCCTGGCACAAAGGGTGGGAGGAGGGCTGGGTCACAGGAAGGAGGGGGCAGTGTTTTGTGCTCACTGAGCCGGTGAGGGGAGAAGGTTCCAGCTGGAGCCAGCTGGGTTCCTGGCCCCCCATGACCAATCCTACTTAGGGGGCAGAGGCAGGGCCACTGGAGTGTACAGTGACATGTGCGTTCCACGATGAATTCAGGCAGTACATTTCCAAACTCTGAGATCCTCTATCTCCCTCTATCTCCACAGCCACTCCCCAGAGGGCCTCCCAAACGTCTTGGTTTTGTCCAGGACTGAGAGGGTTCCCAGGACACAGGACTCAGTTTTAAAAGCAAGACAGTGCAGGAAAAACCTGAAGGAGTTGGGTACCCTGCTCCAGCATCTCTCACCGGGGTACATCCCTCCTCCCTAGGGTCCCTCCTTACATCCTCTGCAAAGACTCAGTAGAGCGAGCCTTCTGAAATATAGGGAGGACCAGGTATAACTCAGCCACTGTTTTAAAACTTATAGGATAAGCCCAAATCGTGTCACTGAGCCCCCAAGGACTGATAGCTCCCACCCCTGCCCCACCTCCTCGGCTCTCCCTTTTGCTCCTGACCCTCCAGGTGCCTCTGCCCTGGGGCATCATGCCCCTGCCCCAAGCAGGTCTTGACCAGTAATGTCTCTGGAATAAAACTGCTTGCACAGCCCCCTATCTAGTCGAGCGAATGCCCCCTCATCCTTTAAAAGGCTCTTCTTCCAAGGAGCCTTTCCTAACTCCCAATTCCCCAGGCCAAGACCCTGGCTCTTGCTTTCACACAATCCAGCACGTTCCCATTGTTGAGCTAATTAACATTAAAACTCAGTCCTCATTTATGTAGTAATGACCTAATCCCCGTCTCCTGAACTAGACTGCCGTGAGCTCACAGGTGCTGGGATGTGCGTGTTGTTTCCACCCCACTGCGATTGCTGGCGCCAAGAAACACCTGCTCTTGATGAACAGTCCAACGGATTGTCTCTGGATCCTGACGCTCCACTGCTGGAGCAGGTGTCGGGTCAGCTCGGCTTGGCCTCTTTCGCTCTCTCTGGGCGTCCACTCTCTGTCTGTCTCGGGCCCTATCCAGGCGTGACCTGCGAGGCGGAGGTGGACGAGTGTGCCTCGGCGCCCTGCCAGCACGGAGGCTCGTGCCTGGACGGCGTGGGCTCCTACCGCTGCGAGTGCGCGCCGGGCTACGGGGGCGCCCACTGCCAGCTGGACCTGGACGAGTGCCACAGCCAGCCGTGCGCGCACGGGGGCGTGTGCCACGACCTGCTCAACGGGTAAGCGGGCTGCCGGTGCCCTCAGGCGGGGTTTCACGAGGCGGCAGCTGGGTGCTGGGGGGTCTGGCGCCCGCTCAGCTCCGGCCTTCCTTCAGGTTCCGGTGCGACTGCGCGGATACGGGCTATGAGGGCGCGCGTTGCGAGCAGGATGTGCTGGAGTGCGCGTCAGCGCCTTGCGCGCACAATGCGTCCTGCCTCGAGGGCCTCGGGAGCTTCCGCTGCCTCTGCTGGCC